ATGTGCTGAAAGCCGTTCTTCTAACATGCTCGGCTCACATAATTGGAACAATTTGTGATTTGGCGGGCTCACCGAGGCTGTAACTAGTTCATGGTGCAGTTAAAACAATATTCTCCAAACTAGATTTGATGAGAATTTTGGGTCCCATATCGACAAGAAGGTCCTGTCAAATTTGCCGCCTTTGATTCGGTGCACCTTCTGCTCTGCTCTTATACCCAAAGAGAAGATGTTGATATGCGTAGCACAAGACGTTTCTCATCAGCTAGTGGAGTCAGGCCTGTATTCAAAGCTGTAGCCCGGGTAGATATACTTAACATCATACTCATTGAGATCAACATGGCTGTTGACAGCACGAAAGTATGTTAGTGAGTTCTTAGGTTCATTTCCATATCGTGCTGTATACTATGCAAATTTAAGCATTAAACGACGTTCCAGTGAAACGTCGGCTCCACTTAATATAGTTCGTTATTCTATGCGTCAACTCAGGCTAGATGCCTTCTTCATTCAGTTCGCGAAGTGAGCAGATACTCTTCAGTATCTTCGCAAGCATTTACAATCAGATGTGCGGTCCTCATGATAAGGCGGATATACCCAAATGCTGCTACTCTCAGAATGATTTTTGTATGCTTTTCTTCTCGCTATATAAGCGGGTCCTCTTTACGCGTGGGTGTGTTAGGACTCTGCCAATTATTGATTAATTGGTTGCTCGTCACGACTTGATTGAGTCCACATCATTCGTTGCGACTCGTGCGCTTGTATGCGGGTATGTCATCCAGCTTAACTTGGGTTGAGATTATTGCTTACGAGCTGGGCGTTGCCGTGTATTTCTTACAGGCGTTTTGACACCATTCACTGAGGAACATGAACAATGTGCACGAAGAGGCGGAGGGTAGTTAAAGCCTTGAAAAATGGTTAAGTCATATGTCTCTTTTCAGAAGAGAGGGTGTTGGGCCAAAACTTAAAGGTTCTTATTTACTTAATTCTCGGAGCGCATTACGAGTCATGCTCGACCTTTTGTAAAGTATTGTGGGCATGTTAGGACAATCGCACTTGAAAAATAATTTTTCTCGTAAGATTAGGTATTATTAAGTGCGACTTCGGAAAAAGAGAATTCGGCATATCGGGTGCTCGTGGAGCATTCACTACAGCGCAATCGCTTACAAAGACACATTGAACGAGGGGCTTGCTTTGGTAGACGGTTATGGTACTGCGGTGGATGCTGTGTATTGGTGTACGTAGACCTTACATTATTGACATTATTGTCACTCAAACTTCGAGCTAGGCCTAGTGCCGTGAACTATGTGTTAATAATGCTGTGAATATCTTACACTAACTCGTAAGTTATTGTGACTGGCTCAAGTGGTTTGGCATCGTGACGATGAACTGAAACTTGTGAGTTTAATTCCCACTAAGGATGGTTAGTGCATGCTCAACCTTAATGATTAAGACTGCATAGTAAAGTGTGTACGAATTTTAGGTTCGCGCAAAGACTGAATTAAAGTGTTACCTTAGGATGGGTTAGTAGCTTTAAATGAGGTTTAGTTTATGGTGTGGTAGCGCGCCTAACATTAATACACTCACTTCTGCATTTGCACACCTAAGCGCACATCACTTCTACCTCTGCCCTTCCTATATCCTTTTGTATGTCATAACAAATAGTATGCATTCTACTGGTAAGCGAACAAATTGAAAAGAAAGGTTGTACAGTCACGTCGAATCAAGCCTTATTCTCTGTATCAGACTAATGGCGTTTTGTAAATGTCGAATTTGGCAGTTCTGCTCACAAAGTTCTGTATGTAACCCCGAATGCTCGTTGAAAGATGTACGCACAAAAAGAATGAAATGACCAAATCAATATGCTAGCACATTAGTTTTGTATGCTGTGTTGAGCTGTGACGGTGCTGTCTTTAGTCCGAAAGTTGCCTGTATTATGTGGGAGCAAGTTTTTGGTACTGCATCATTATCAGATAGCGCATATCTAATTCATCGACACGATGCGCATATGTTTAAAGTGGTACGCGTATGCTGTTACTGTTTTCTTGCAGTCCCAAATCAGACCTCATCAATTTAGTCCTAACGCGTAAAGGATACCTGCAAACACAGCGCTCATACAAACGCTCGATCAGCTGAACGTGATTTGTGTCAGGACAATGACTCCAAGACATTTCTATAAATACTTTCTTGCAATGAACGCGTGCATCGAAATTATTGAATAGCTAACCCTCGTTCATTTTTCTTACCAAGGAAGCAAAGACGCGTTTGGGTGTCGTACCGTTCGGTAAACATCAACGTAGAATTTTCACTTAAGGTCTACAAGTTGGTCTGTTTGTTATGACGCCGTCTATTTCTATTATAACGAAAGGTACTAAAGACCGGTGACTGTCCTCACGATGAAAGTCACAGATACGTTATTCATGGCCCGAAATAAATGTTTGCGCTCGTCAATATTTGAAGGAGCTCGTGGTTGCATCTCACCGAGCCGTACAAGTTGTGATGTGAATGAGGGGGTGAGACACTAAAAAGTAGAGTCTGCAGGATACGTGATTCTATACAGTTCGAGCTGTTGTATATAGTGCCGCTCAGCTGTATGTATTCTCTTGTCAGAAGTGGCCACCCAACGGGGTATCGTGCGCCTCGTCCACAGGTCTATACGAGGAAAATGTAACGAGGGCTTCGGTGATATAATACAGCGTACCTTGAGATAAGAAACAGTGGTGCAAACGAGCTCCCAAAATGGAGATAAGCTTCTTCGCGTCCAAGATATATTGGGAATCGTCCTTCCGTGTACACACATTCTCTGAGAAAGGCTTCGGTCAACTGACACGCCTCACCGCGTGTTGCTCGCTTCCAGCGTGCCGTTGGCTCACGTTAAGAGGATAAAGTTGAAGTGACATTTATTATTATAGCCATTGGCTTTTATAACGATACAGGGTGTCCAATTAATGTCAAACGCACAAAATATGTTGTCCACACATCATGTGTAATCGAGTGGGTACAGCTGACCACGAAGAAGATGCTTCCACCCGTTGTGTGGTCGAGCACACACATGTGAAGGAGGCAACGAAATGTGATGATCGCGGTACGCTCTGGATGCGATTGAGTCTGTAAATGAGGCAGTCCAGCGTACTTTTCCCCATGATGGAAATATAGCATGCGAATATGCTGGTCCACGTATTGTGGATGCAACGACCGTTAGTGAAGCTAACAGATGCTCTTTTGGCACCGTTGCCGACGATGGAAAAGCTAGTGCAGCTCGAGGAAGTCACTTACGATGAGTTCTTCACTTGTTATGGAATATACGGACGACGCGCTTAGTGCGAATCTGCAATATGGTCTTCAACCTGAACATGGAGTTCAGCATGAAACTGATCGTAAACCTGGCTCAAAGCATGCAGTGCTTCGATAGTGGCTACTGTCGCGTGAATAAAGTGAATACATCGATGGATTTTTCGCCTAAAAGCAAGCCACTGGGTTGGTGATGGAGAACACGCCCTCTCAGCGCGAACCGACGTTTGTGTGCATGAACAAAATGGTAAATGACGTATCGTTCACGCCTACAGGTTGCAGACGATTCTCAAGCAAAAGCTGATGTCATCATCCACCGTATGTCCGGCTAAACACGATTTAGTGTACTTGATTTGGTCGATGGATATTACCAAATATCGATCAGGGAGGAGTATATATATCTTACAGCTACTAGAACACCATCCTGTATATTACGGGAGTGGCTTGTGATGCCACAGGGACTATTCAGTGCCCCAGCAACGCTCAATCGATTGGTCTCACATCTGTTTCCACCACTGCGATGCTTCACACAAACATGCTTTGACGATATTTTTTCGCTCGCTCAAGGGACGAGAATGACAGATCTGCCGAAGAAATACACTTGAGGCACCTTCGTGCGGTGCTAGAATGTATGCGTGAACGTTTTCTGCAAGCGAATCATGCAAAATGGCTAGCAAAGCACCGGTCCCCGGTTGTTATTATGTAAGTGAACACGTGTTCGTGCAGACCCTGACAAGGTCAAAGCAATCGTGCAGTGGCAATGCCACGAACTCAAAAGAATATGAGGAAATGGATTCGTTTCTCCAATTACCACCATCGCTTCTTGCGTCACTACGCGGAAATAGTACGGCCGCTATCAAGCTTGCTGAAGAAGTTCGTACCATGGGAGCGGTCATCCGCTCGTGAAGAAGCATTCATCACGAGCAGCTAGATGAAAGCACAATTACTTGCTCTACCAGACAGTACGAAACCTTATAGGTGGTGCTTGATGCTTCTGAGTTTGCAATAGGCTGTGCACTATTACAAAACGACTGAGAAGGACACAGTTGTGTCGTGTCGTTTCAATTGTGACAGCAGAAGCCAGCAGAAAAGAAGCGTCCTGTCCACGACAAGCGTCTTTTAGCAATGAAGTATGGTCTGGAAAAGTTTCTTGTTCACCTCTTGGGTTCAACTCCGTTTGTCGTCTACACTGAACACGCAAGCTTGTGTTATGCAGCTCAGTCACCTTACTTGTCACAGCGAATGGCTCGCTGGTTGTCAATCTTTGCAGAATACAACTTCACGGTCGCGTACAAGCGAAAAAAACAGATCTTGCTGGTAGACGCATTGTCCCGTCGTCCTGATTATGAGCTAGCTTATTTCAGCTGTATCGAAAGCGACGTATTTGATATGATACGTCGAACATAGAATGAGCAGTGTGATCTGACCATCAGAGTACTGTCATTGAGTGATATAGAAATCCTTGTGCAAGCTTCCTGGTCGCTTGAAATCAAAGTTGTATCTTTATGCATGAAAGGATGGCTTCATTTACTATGAAGTTGCGCATGACGACGGGCCACGAATTGTGGTTTCCCACGCTGATGACTTGAAGTACAAGATAGTGTACGAGGCGCATGTCACGTCGATGTCCAGTTACTTTAGCCGTTGGAAGATCTACCAGTCTCTCAGAGCCGCATTTTGGTGGCCCCATTGTACAAGCGTGTTGCACAATACATAAAGACATGTGATGTCTGTCAGCGCGTGAAGAGCGCACAGCACACATAGCTACCGCTGAAGAGTCTCCCTGATCCTACTAACCGGTGGAAGTAAGTCGGTCTCGAATTATCTTTGGCTTATCCGAGAGTGCTGATGGTCACATTAAATCTCATCATTGCCTACTGACTCAGCCAGGTGGTTCGCATCGCTCCATGTAGCGATTCCATCGATGTCGAAGTTTCCGCTAAATGCTCATTTATTACGCACGGGTTACCAGACACCATCGCCTTTGATCATAATACACGATTGACAAGTGGCTGAAAGGAATTGTTTGAGTACTCGGCACTTCTTGGGTATGTCCACAGCAGTTAATTCGGAGACCGAGGGCAAACAGAACGTGCAGCTAAGTGGTCAGTGATGTGTTGAAAAGCTCTGTGCGGAAAGTCCCGTAGAATGGAGTTCGTTGTTACCTTTGTTTGAGTTTGCTGTAAACAGTCCAGTTCATTCATATACTGGATCTACGCCATTTTGATGAAGGGCTTGTGACACTCGCAAATACCGCTTTGTGCGATGGGTGGCATCTCTAATGTTAGTATGGGAGAAGCTCGGCAAATGCTGCCTCTCAAACTGATACAATCAATGATGCAAATATGAAGACCTAGTACAATAACGCCCTGAGCTCATTATCTTGAGTCGTGTGGATGTGACCACAGGGGTGCGAGACGCAACGGCGGATGCGCAAGATCTGCAAAAGAAATGCGCAGATAGACGAGGTCGTCAAGGCGAAATGCTTTGGAAGGTTGGGGATTATGAGCCACTTAGTACCAAAAACCTATCAGACGATGCGGTGTCAAGCTTCAGAAGTTTGAAGCTAATACCTCACCTTATGAATATATTCCGAGTAGCATCATGCCATGAAAATGCGCGCACGATAGACCTGTCAAGCTGGCTAAGGACACATCCAGCGTTACATAGGGATCCTCAAGCCCTACCATTGCGACGAAGCAATTTACAGCCTGAATGTGATGCAGGGGTATATGAATGTGACTTCAGAGCCACGGATTCGAAATGAAGGTTGAAGGCTTATCCCCTTGGCATCATCGCCTCAGCATCGTCTCAAATGACAAGAATAATCGGGAGTGACCGGAGCAGAGAGTGGTCCCTTTGCAGGATCCCCGCATCATCATCGGATGCGTCCGCAGCAGGAGTGAGAGCTTCCAGAGCCAGCTTCATGGATGGATTCAGTTCTCGATTGCATCCCAGTCTAAATCCCACGGCGCAATGCGGAATCGCGAACTTAGCAAAAGACCTGCCGATTGTTTGTCAGGCGCTATAGCATCGACGACACCCGATCTATCACCTCGATCAGCCGATGTTAATCAGCGAGAGGAGCTTCTCAACCTTCGTCGACCGCAACTTCAAAGCGGACGAAGACTGTGAACCAGCCACATGAGATGCAGAGGGACGCTCGCTCCGAGTGCCCCTCCCCCTCTTTTAGACCAACAAGGAAATCAGTACTACCACGTCGAGAACATTGTAGGGGAAGGAATATCCGCGGTCGGAAGAAGCTCTTGGTGATTGGCCGAAAATATAGCGAACGAGAATACGTGAGAGCCAAGTCCTTTTATACATCACGACTGTCCCTGTATCGTTCGCGCGTTCGATGCGAGTCCGAAGACAGAATCCGCTTGGGGAAGCTGTCCTTTCCTCTTCTCCCTCTGTTCCGCTCGTCGTGAAATGGACTGACGAGCAACCTTGATATCAAAGTGAACCGGATTATTTACTGTCAAATGCGCATAGCGAAAGCGCATCTCGCGTACCTTTGACAAGTCTGCAGCGGTATTCGTGCTTTGCAGACGGGGGGATACCTACGGATTCGGTCACATTTATTCATGCCCAGATTCGAGTAAATAAGATCCAGATTTGATCGCTGGACGTATGGTAAATATGTGAGGCTTCGCGGTCCAACTACAGCTCGAATAATCTGTCCGATGGCAAGAAAATACGCGATTCGAGTCATCAGTAAAGCACTTATTCGACAAAATAGTTCGCCGAAATCGACCACGTCTCATCTTGACGATCAAGATCACGATAGCGCAAATGGGCTGGATAACGTGGAATTAGAATATTATCTAAGTTTGATGGTGACGAAGATACCATGTAGATCAAGCGTATAGACTGTCACTCCAGGGAGAGTTAGACAGAGCATGACGAAGAATTTGAAGAAGAATTGAAGGAAATTCAAAGTTTGGGTTAATTCACTTTTGAGTGGTGGGGCGGTGTGATGGGCCAGGTGCCATTACATATGTTGTGTAAACCACATACTTTGTGTGTCTAACATTTACTGTACACCCTTTATAGTTGTATATCCCCTTCAGTGGTGGTGTGCTAAAAGAGGAGACACTTAGAGAGGTTTCAAGCCTATTGGCTAAGAAAATAAATGTCATTTCACCTTTCCTTATTTTAAGAGAAGTCAACGGCCCGCTGGAAGCGAGCAACATGTCGTGGGGCATGTCAGTTTACCTATGCATTCCATAGTCAGTTGGCGTACACGGACGGACAATCCCCGTTACATTGTGTCTTATGTTCTTTCTTCAACACCCCAGTTCTGCAACATACTATTGCGAAGTACAGTTGCTCTTACTCTTATCTGGCTCGGGCACAGGCAACATCAAATTAGAGCTTTATTGGATGGGCCATCGAATATTCACTTTGGGGTACACGCCACTTTATCACTTACGCCTTCCAAGCTCTGCTTAAGGAACTGAGCAAGATATTTGCAATATATCTCCTATCCAAAGCTCTTCAGCTACACAGTTTTGAAGGGCATAACATCTAACTCTTTTGAGTTAATAGCCAGTCGATGGCTAAACGCGCTCAGGTGACGTCATACTTAATATGAAATCGCGACTCAAATTCAGATCTAGGATATGAGTTATTCCACTCTGCAATGTTTTTCAGATGCCTAAGGAGGTTCATCCGAATCTTGAAATTGTTTTAATCGCAACACGCACGGATGTTTCTATCCGAATTTGGCATGTTCAGTGCCTTTGCGTTTTGTATAATGTTAGCAACAATCACGCTTTTTCATTGTATAACGCTCCTAAATACATTAGGCCTCATTTGTAAATGCTAAGAAAACAACTTGGGCTGAGTGCATAATTCTATTTAATAAATTCGCTCCCTTTACGGCTTGCCATCGTAAAGCAAAATCCCCCACAAGATATAGAGGGCCGCTCTTTTTTCAGCTGACGCCGGGCTGCCGAATGCGACCGGACAATCCCCGCAACATTTTGCAAAAAACACACGTTCTGTTTAAGACACCCGATTAAGTAAGGAAACATTTGGAATGAGTGTCTATCATCTTTTTGACCTTGCGGGGGAATTCAGATCTTCGTGTCTCTCAGCAACGGGCTAAGGGAACACGCAAGGCGCAAATGTTTCATACAACCACAGATGAGACATTTGCGGGCACCGCAAATCTACTCAGTGGCTAAGAAATCACTTTCTTCCTGCTCAGAATCAATCCCTTTTGGCGCTCTCATAGAGCTTACAATCCCTCTCTAGCGGCATGGATGTTGATCTCCGTATTTGATGCAACACATACTGTGTTTTCAAAAACGAAAGATAGTCTTGGTGCGATTTACGTTCGTTCGAAGACCCTCCATGAAGATATTTAAACCATGACCGCTCCCTGACATCATCGCGGAGATAAGTTTCTTAACTCTTGTTCATAACCCACTAGTTATTGCCGCCTCCCCTTACGAGTGTATAAACCTGGATATGCAGAGCATACACCGCGCAATTTATTGCATTAGATTTTTGCAAGCTGGTAGAGCCACTTCCACAGTGGGGCTGAACATTAATTTGCATTCTCGCGCGCGGACACCAAGCTTCAAAAGGCAAGCACAGCGCACTGTTTCTCTGTTTGGAATACAGTCGGATTCAAGGCCATCTCAACTTTCATTTTCCAAATCAAGAGAATTTCTTTGCTCCGGTTTTTAATGGTTGATCGCTCAACATCAGCAGCCTCCCGGTGGGTACCATCTTTTTTTCCACCGTTGTCCGATTTAATAGCGCATTTTCATAGCTGATAAACGCCTCGAGACGAGCATTTCCTCACGGCCTTTTGGTCGTCAATTCTCGGGTCTAGCCAAGCTTTTTTAAGCGTATCTAGCTGTCCTGGAGGCAAAGACTCGATCATGCATGTCCCATCCTCACATAGATTACAGACTTATCTCAATTCGGCCTTGAAATTGACTACAAGTGCATCGAGGTGCAATGGGGTTGCCATACGTTTTTCGCATTGGAAGCTTTGACTCAAAAACTCTGCTTAAACAAAAGCGCTGAGTTCGGGTTTTATGCTTCGATTAGGAGGAGAGTCAAGTGACGATAATGCATCGTAATACTTCGTTTGCTATACTATTGACGGGTGATATCAAATCTTTTCAGACATGTGCTAGATCAATCGGCTTACCATGTATTACTCGCCACGCGGCCAGCAGCCTACATGAACTACTGACCTTTCCTATCCAATACTGAGTCCCATCATCAAACCGATATTTCGATACCTTTGAATAGTCACAATTACAAAAGTGCAATGCGAATTCTGTACACTTGTACATTATTGGATTTGATACATAGAAATAAGCGTTTAATGTGTAAGTGCACAATACAATACGATAGTTGTAAATAATTTTCTACCTAATCTGTAGATCGAAAAATGTACTGATTTATCATTGATAAAACTTAAACTTTTAGGGTAGGCACTTTATTGTTGTGAACTTAACCCTTACTTACATTGTTCAACTAAATTAATAACAAGCGGTACGGTAGTATGAAATTCACATCACACTTGAAACATCGGTATAACGAAACTCTAAATAGTGCACTGCTAGCTGGGCGGTGTAAAGATGGTTTGATCATAAGAAATAGTATTTAGTACTACTCTAAATATAATGGAGCGCATTAACCGCGTTAGTTATCTGAGAGGCTTTGAGTTCGCTGCTGGTAGCCCCTGCGCGTTTGTCAGCCAAATCTTCATCTGTGCAAAATGCACGGAATATTACTACACGTGTTTGATACAGCTCTCGCGCAGTGACTTTCTTGCAGTCGTTTTCCTCTAGGTGTAAGGTAAGTCCCGTGCGCTTGGGGTGTATGAGACTCACACCAGCGCGGCGAGCAACTTCGGTCGGTTCTCAGTCGTAACAACGGCTCGAATTCGGCATAAGTTGATTTATTCGATCATTACTGTAGATTTATTTACTCACGTGTATTCACATGACTGAACGTGGGCTCGAGATCTACCACAGTCGAAGTTAAGGAAGACACTAGGCAGGCTCTCCACCAGGCGTCACGTCCCTGACCTTTGGATTTTTATCTGAGAATTTCGATAGGTACTGCATCCACAACTTCAATTCTAAGGGTACTCATTAAAGTGGAAAATATTATACGATTTACTTCAACATCGTATCAAGACGTCCATGGCACATGGTCTCCTATCATCTCGCGGTCTTCTGTATAAAAGTGATTGGGCTTTTCAAAATGGTTTTGAGAGGTTTGGACGATTCTGCATATATATATGAATCTTGACTTCTTAGAGAACTTTATATCAAAAAGACATAGGCATATTGCTCACTGTACGTGCTACTCGCAATCTAACGTTTAAAAGGCGTAGTGCTCAGGTGTACGGAAGTGAAGACCTTTTTTGTCACATATGCAAAGTTATTATACCGCTACATCAGATAGAAAGAAAAACGAATAGAAAAAAACGCTATCGGAGTTTGCGCCAAAGTTGAAATCTATTCTGCTTTCATATGCAAATAAACTGAACACTCATTTTGAGTCAATGGTTGCCACACTGCTGATACATTTCCGTAAAATAATAATGTGAATCCTAGGTTGTAATAAATTTGAGCCTAAAACCTCGTAAATTCCTGCTTTGGATGCCATATCTTGAAGTCGGAAAAATTGTATGACGTATACTTGGTAATTATATTTTTTATTTGCTATGCTATACTATTCAATGCTATCCCATTACTACTATACTACTTAATGAGAACTGATGTTTGATAGAATAGTATATTTGTCGTTGGTACTATTCTTTTTTTTGTAGTAATGCTGAACTCTAACGCAATATAATAACAGATTGAGCTCGTTAAGCCACACAACTCACTCGAAACGTTACGGTTGTCAGACTACAAGCCTTGATGTACTTACGTATGTTAGCCACATTCGTAAAACTACTAACAAAATTAGCATGCGTAGTGTTCTGTGGGGTATAATCAGAATATTCTACAGCTCATTAGCAAAAAAATGATAACTAGGTATAGTTAGTTCAGTAATAAATGTGACTGCATTTCAGCGATATAGTATGTATTTAGATAGATAATGATTTTACAGTCACATCATTATGTACGAGTCTATAATAATAGAGTATAAAATAATCTAAGCAATTTGAAAAAAAAAATGTGCAAAAGAGGCTAAAAGCACCGTTAAAACAACACTACGCCATGCAACTCATTCGAATCGTAAAAGAAGTTATGGCCATAATAGCGAATAGCTAAACTGTACAAACAAATGTTATTAACCGCTGTGCAGCGTCTTCTAGACATGATCTCCACCGTTGCGGCGGCTTGTAATAAAATAGTACGATTCAGATTACACTAAAAATAGGACCCGCTTTTGCAGTGAAAATATCACGTTTTGGCCTAGATTAAATGTACCCATACCTAGTGGGCATACCTGAATAAAGCAACAACATCAGATTAAGTGAAAAATATCATACCGGAATTAATCTCCAAATTTGCTGGAAGGTCTGTAGGCCCTATAATTGATAGATAAGACGCCACCCACGTTGCACGCGAAAAACGAAAATAAATGTAATTATATTTGTTTTTTCAATACAACCAAATTATGAGGCCGGGAACTGTGCACCAAGCATAATGAGGAATCCGTCGCATTTACAATATTGTAGTATCCATCGTTTAATTCATCATCTAATTTAATTTGTGGTGCAAACATTCTAACGTCAGCCTTACTTTAAAATTGTCTTATTACACCAGGGTATAAGTCTTCCTTACAAGCAAATGTAATGACGGGAGAGCCAAAATTCACTGTGAGTAAAGTTTACCATCTCGCCGTCTCTCTTCGATTTGAATATGTTATTGTTTACCCAAATTTCGGACAGCAGCAGTGCACGTCACCTTACCGCACACGCGAAAAACACCCCATCGGGAAAGATTATGTGCACATCAGCCATATTATCTATAAGTCTTCTTGACATCATGCTCTCCACAAATTAAATCTGGTCATGAAATGCCACAGTCGTCGCGTATACTTTCGCGCAACGTTTTTGTCAATTGACAGTAGTTGGTAGCAAAGCTACCCATTCAGAGAAGATGCCACTCGTTTAAATAGAAAACCTAACGCAGTGAGGGTAAGGCTAACGCATGCAGGATGAAGCACACTATCATTTCGAACATGAGTTTAACATTACAATCAAAGCAAAAACATAAATCCTGAACGACAGCACCGGCCATACTAGTGAGCTGGAACATCGGCTGATACCGAACCAACCACGCACCTATTGCCCGCATGGCGGGCCTCGGCTTGAACTAATCAAACAGATGGCTTAAAACGTTACTTTATTTCTTAATATTTTCGAAAGTGTTAGGTAATACAAAAAAATTACCATTTGAAAGCATCGTAAGAAAAACTAAAGGACAGACTTTAATTATGAAATATTAGCGGGCTTAAAAACATTATAGCCGTCGCCAGCCGTGCTCATAAGAACACCTGGGCATTGCGGGTGGAAATGCAGCTCCTTAATGTCGGTTTGACCCTGGTGTATGAACAGCAGCTGTGGCGGAAGATCAAGCTTCCGGTTGTCTTTCTCTCCCTGAACGGTCACAGCGGCCTCGGCATCTTCTTCAACAGACATATCCCAGACCGAGATCTGGTTATCGGCTCCTGACACAGCAAGCACCGATTCGTCGGTCGGATGCCACTCAATGGATGTGATTGGTGCTGTATGGTATCGAAAGTGTGCCACCGGATTGTCTGCTTTAAAGTTTCGAAGATCCCAGATCTTAAATGAGCCGTCATCCGAGCCAGAAGCAAGCAAGTAGGCAACGTTGCGATTCCACGTAATTACGTTGACGTCGTCGTCGTGAGCAGTTATATCCAGCATACTGCCAGCTTTTCGGCGGACATCCCAAATCCGAACAGAACGGTCTGACGAGCATGAAGCAAACACAGACGCCTCCGTCGGACTCCACTGCAAATCCTCCACTGAGCTTTTGTGTCTCACGAAAGGCACCTTGTCAATACTCCACCCACCGTCTGAGCTGGCCCATAGGTAAATAAATTTGCTGCAATCGCCTGTAACTAGACGGCCGGCTTCTACTGGTGACCAGTCCATGGCGAATCCTTCGTCGGTATGACCTGTGAAAGAGTACACAGGCATTTGTTTGGTCGGCAACGGACCACCAACCTTTCCATCCAGTGACTCGAGCTGCTTTGAAATGTCCCAAAGATGCACCTTCTTGCGATCAGACCACGTAGCCACAATATTCGGCACCTGCGGCATGCAGCGGATGCGGTTCACACCACCAGAATGCGGAATGGATCGTGTTTCAAGTACTGGATCACCATCTGTTTCGTCCTCATCGTCTTTACCATCGTCCTCCGAGTCTGAGGCATCGTTGTTCTTCGTCTTGTATAGTTCCGACATCTTCATGACAGTGACTTGATTGTCATCGGGGTTAGATGCTTGCGTGCCAGCTACCATAAATATTGTCATGGGAAACCGTGATCGCACTGCTCCAAGGCTATCACGCACGACATCAATACTAAGTGCTGGCCACTCGGCTGTCAAAGCATAGTACATATCGTAAGCGCTGCTGTCATAATCGAGCATCTCATCTTCCTGCAATTTGTCCACGCCGGGCATAAATACCTTCTTCATCTTTGAATCGACTTGCTCATCGTCGTCCATATCAATATCCTTGTCAGTGATAGCAGCATCGCCATCCATAGTCGCTTCGTCTCCGTCGCTAGTGACCATTTCCTCATCTTCCATGTCGTCGCCAAACGGATCTTCGAATACTAGTCCCATCGCACCATCGCGCTTTTGCGCAGTGTGGCGCTTAGAGTCGCCCGATAAATTCGCAACAGCTCGTTTCCTCTGCTGGTCCATGGCTCGAGATGAAGGAACACCAATCAACAATGTTTGTGAAAAGCCAATAGTACTACTACTAATAAGCCTACATTTTTTGTGCACCTGCTTTTACGACCAAAAATTATAATATCTGTAAAAATGTCTACCAAATTTGAGAACAATCCAACCAAATTAGATGTTTGTTCTCGATTACCCAGCTAAGAATATGAAATACAAATTAAGATATATATATCATCGTGTCAGCCGTCCAGAATGAAGCAGTATGTGCCTTCTACTTACCCCCTACTTTAAAGCATTGCCTTATGTACGCAAGCAGGATTGTTTGGACTCTGATTAAATATATCATAAGTCATGTATCCAGGTTTCACTTCGACACTGCAATTAGATGTTCAATTTTAGAATTAATTCCCTCAAATTGTTTTGATAATTTCACAAAATGAAATGTTGTTTATATTTATATATTTTAAACGGCTGAGTAAATAATCATGCGTAATTCATCCTTACACATTACGCTCAATTTTAATATTCACGATATGGTACAATTACGAAATCCATGTTTTACTTGTTGCTGTGAATATTCATAATACCAAAAATCAGTATTGATGATGACATTTTTCTATTCGTGAGGTAAATAAGGCTGGATGTATAGGTTCTGGAGTTAAGATGTCAAATCATCTTGATGGCGACTGACAATCGTTAAAGTTGTAAATTGCCCGCCCGTGTACACACATTAACCGAAGATGACTTGAACCAGTTAAAGCGCTTCACCGCGTGTTGCTCGCTTCCTGCGAGCCGTTGATTTACCTGAGAGAAGAGGAAATGTGAACTGACATTTATCATGGCCTGCAGCGAGGCTGCCGTAGCTCTTTGCTCAAAGGAGGCTATGCTTAGGTCACCAACCTTACGTTCTATACTAGAACCAGTGTGAGTGTAGCAAATCGCAATCCGCTAGTGATTTTTCGGGATTTATTCGACTTATTAATCAATGAGTGATTTCCTAAATAAAAATTTGGATTTTTTGGCATAGTTGCGATGACATAACATTCATTTTATTGAGATTGAATACATTCTACATATTCGTTAAGAAATGATATTTGGAATCGTTAATGGCGATAATTTGTGTGGCTTTGTAAGTGTGTTTTTATGCATTTCTTATTATAGACGCGGACTTATGCTTTACGTATATGAATCTTCGATTTTTTATCTATTCAAGATGATTAATTACTAGATGCTATTAACAGGACGGCTGATATATATATCCGAAAGCATAATGGGTAAAAATAAAAATGCGTTAAGTGTTAAACGTCCATTTCATTGCTGTCATGTGTCCTACTGACTGACGTCTTCTCAAAAGCGTATGGACGGAATTCGGAGTGAATGGAAAGTGCTAATCTGCATTCAAATACATTGACATAGAACGAATGGCGGGCGGCACTCACACGGGATACGGGAATGAACGCTGCATCAACAATGTTGCGAGAGAAAAATTAAAGCGTATACATCAAATCGTAAAATTTGATAAAAAGATGACTATTGCCTATTTTTGAAATGTGACATAATTTACGAAGACGGCATCATCACTTTTCGATCCTCTGGAAACGCCACTTTTACGTTTGTGACGCTCATGATTGTAACGATCACCATGTTTTGTATAGATTCAATCTGATCTGTTCACTGAGTAGTGAGATTATCAACAAATTCAAAAAACACATGAACCAGCAGCGGCTCACTTATGAATGCTCTCAATGCATCACATACTTCGCGTAGTACACCGTCGCTAATACGACTTTGAGCTAGTATGCCTGCTGAAGGTATCTTATTCAAGTTGCTGATCTCGATTTATCGATATTTCGAGCATTCATCAAAAAAATTTCTTGCTGTGCTTATTTGCAGCTCTCGAGTGCGTTTGGACTACCACTCGATGGGCCATACTGTAAGGATGTCATTGTTAGAGTGACAGTCGATTTCACTCTTTTGGTCACTTCTATAAAATGCCCGAGTGCCATCTTGGTCGATCTCACCATGTTTTTTGACACATTGCTCATGTTGCGCAACGATTTACCTGCTTAATATCTCTCCATCGTTTTTGATTTGCTACTCAAAGATGCCTTTGCCTATAAAAGTAAATTCTTTTAGGCTTTATCAAGGAGTATTCTTCGCTTAACTGCATCTACTTTACTTCTTCGTTACATCAATCATATAAAACTGTTAAAAATTGTATCGGAAGTTGGTGCTTTTCGTAATTTACTTTCTTTCCTGCGTATTGAGACTTCAAGAATGATCTGTGCGTTGCTTGAGAAATGGTGTCGAGCTGCGGCTGGTAGTATCTGATGCTGGTGACATTCCTGATTATGAACCAGTGTGGCCAAAGTCCCAACACCAAGATGAGCAGATTTAAAATGACATGTAAATTATCCAGTTTGTTGTTCGCCTAAGCTTTAAAAGTTGATCACGGAATCTGAGTTATTTTCCAATGCGCGCCTCGATGGGCACATTCAGTCAATAATAAAACAGCGGAGCTCATACACCTCCCCATCCTATACCCAATTCTAGTTGGCAGTTTGGCTTGTCACCAAATTATCTGAGTAGTCCACGTGCGATCGTTTAAAATTTTCAGCCCACATTTTCTCAAAAAGTTCTCGCTCATGCTGTGGCTGTGGTGGACGAAGTTCCTTCGGTAGTTGCGCAGCTGGTCGATAAGCTATAGGGTCCATTGGCCGAGCGTTTACTTTACCAAGGTAGCCGCCAAGAAAGTTGATCAGCACAGTTGGCTCATTCGATTCGTACATAAGCTCACGCATAAAATTCTCGAGTGTTATGCATTTCTGGTGCAAATATGACGGCTCTAGCCGATTAAACCAACGCGTTTCAATTCCTGCCCAGGCTTCTTGTGTCCGCGTATAGCGTTTTTCATCTAACGTCTTAACCAGCTCTCCGAATTCTGAATATCGGCGCCAGTCTGCATATAGCTCTTTGCCGAGCATTAATGTGATCAAATACTGTGCATGGCGATCGGCACCGGAGCGGGATTGAACGATGCGAAACTTGGGGATCGATACCGTCGCAGGAACAACTTTGCTGTTACCCTCTGAGACTACTGCAAATGTCTTGTGTGCTGCAGTAATGCGTGTATTGGTTTGTTCATCACCCAAGACGTGAACATTGCCCATATCGATAAGGCCCAAGTCAGCACTAAGTCGGCGACGTAAAGAATGGATGGAGCCGTCACCTCCCCAGCTCTCGCTGCTCGAGTCGATGTCTGCAAACCAACCCCACTCGGCGCTGCCATCTTTGCTCATCATAGAAGACGAGCGGATGCGCGACGTCGGACCACTTTTTCCGCCACCTGCAACAACACAACACACATCGACGTCATAACGACAGATCAGCTAAACACGCACAACATTATTTTACGATCAAGTGGACAATTGAGCTGTACCTCTTGGGGACGCAAAGTGTGCGTGAGCGCGCATTAGCTCCGACTTTACAGAGCGCTGGTCACACGTGTTCATGTACGTGGCGATAACGTCCACCGCAGGTTGGCCACGCGGCGTATTTGTGACTACTGTGACAGACGGCACCGAGTATGAAAGCGACATCGGAAATTTGTCTGCATGCTCAAGTGGCGAGTTGGCTGAGTCGGATGTAACACTCGGCATTAACGAAATGCGGCGGCGTTCCGCCGTATCAAAGCCGAACACAGCACTCGCGCTGTCACGGCATTTGACGTAAGGTAGCGACTGCACCGTGAGTGACTGTAGATTATCCTCTGATGTGCCAAAGACGTCAACAGTTTCTTCAGCATCACCGTCGCTCGAAGAGTCGTCAGATTGATGAAGATGCTCCTCAACAACTTCATCTAAGTCAGTCATTTACTGTGAAAGTTCTTGCTAAGCGACTCGTATAGATAGATGGCTTGTCCAATGATGCTGCTCCGGCTGTTTATCACTCGCTTTTCTTGACAGCGAAAAATGACTTTGTTCCAATCTATCCAGCAAGTGCATAGACCGATCACAATGTTTAGGATGGCGATGTAAATAATGAGACTTTGAGGCACCACCAAGGGAGCTCGTTATCAAAAAACCTGCGGGTTGAGCCGGAGAGGACCTTTCGGGGTAAATACTTGCTTTTTATGGAAAGACTTGGGCGTCTTCAATTTGAGGTGACTAAAGTGCTTTATTGTTTATCAAGACATAATATATTGATTGATACCGTATCAATGATACGTCTCATACAAATAATACCACATCAGATTATAAAAATTATAGTCACTCCATGTCCCCCAATAATGACAACATCACGATTTTAATTATAAAGTTTATGTATGGGTTTTGCTAAGGTATATATATATCCGCCATTTGAAGACCCTCTAAGAAACGCAACAACGAACACCCCTGGTCTTTTGGATGTCGCCTACCTGTATGTCGAGTGTAGAAATTGAGCTAATGTATGCAGTTCCAAAAGTGATGCTTTGTAGCCAACAGGACAAATTCGTTTGTATGTTCGATAAACCTTGTTTTGTCGCATGCATATAAATGTGATGGACACTGTAATGGAATAACCGTAATGACGTTTTTGTGTCACCAGTGCTATAAAGATTGTATCATGGATTACATTTGTGAAGCAAGTATTCATGCATTAGTAGTTTCATTTACTTGTATTCTATAGACGCCAATGATCGAAGGATTAATGAATGTTGTAGATGCCGATAGCACACGGTGCTGATAAAGTACACATCTCGCCAATGGTAATGGCGCCGAGTCAGTTAGGTCGACTCTATAGGCGATTGGAGGGTTCGATTTTCATAGTAGTTTGCGAGTTGGAAGATAATCAAGTATAAGAAAAGGGTGCGTGGAGAACGATACATCGTTAGTACTGGTAGCATCATTTGCTCCACAGATGTAAAAACAAACTTCTGGGACACATATGGTCGAGTCGACCAACGCGTCTCTATAGAAGAAGTGGAACATGCCGTCGACGACCTTAAAGCCAAAACTGATGGAAAGGCCGAGGCGTTTGCTGATTAAAGCGGTCAAGATGACTCTCCGAGTCCCGACTTGACACCTCTATCCTCAACAAGAGACAATACCGCAGGGAGACCTGTGAGATAGAGGCAATATCTTTACTCCGCCGCCTCTATTGTGGACTCCATGCTCGTTCCTTGGAACAGAAAGTACTATGACACCCCTCTGCGGAACTCATGACAACATTTAGCTCATCACAAATGAGCTAGGCCTGATTCAGCGAGCCGATCGTTGTCTCGTATGAGGCAAGACTTGCATCGATTTTTTAGGTTAATCATGTTGTAATTGTGTGATTAATATATTAAAAGCTGCTCCTCATGCCATAGCAGATCCCTTACACGCCTACCATTTAGTGCTTAAATTTACGAAGTGCAACGCGCGACGTGAAATGGAGATGGAAACTCGTCACCTTCGCTCTTGCTGTTAGCAGCCATGACGACCCTTTTGGTGCAGCTTCTGGTCAATTTTCGATTCAGGAAAAGGCTAGACTCTGCACGCTATCAAGAAGTGGACTGTGTAGCTCTTTTCGCAAAGAGATGGGAAAAAAGGTACGCCAAGTTAGCAGTGGCTACGACGCCAGAGCAATCTTGCCGAGGCGAGACCTCGAGCTCTCATGATAATTAGGAAGGGGTATGTATACCGTCTGTCTTACCAGATTGTGGTTACACCAAGGTTGGTACACAAATTCAGCATCCAATTCACATGAGACCGGGCACCTCTTTCTCATCGAGCAATGCCGACATATAATCACCCTCCCATAGCTGACTTCAGTAGACTCAATGTGTTAAACCAGCACGTAGACTCTCTCCGAGAGTATCGATCTGTAACATACACTGACCCAAGCTACGTTTGGGTTGCGCTTCCTAAGCTACGCCATCATATGGTGTGGTTTGAGGCACCCTTGAGGCCCAGGGCCGTATCTGCAGCGGGGCTGCCGTAGCTTTGTGCTTTGAGGAAGCGTAAGTTAGGTCACCGACCTTTC